TGGCGTGTTTTATTGAAGTTTGTTAATTAAACGTTTTTAAAGGTTCTCTCTACGGAATATGCTGTAAGTAGTTTATTGAAAGTTGTGCGGTCGGCGAACGGGTGGGTATACGTTTTTAATGGGGCGGTTGTCAAAGACGGGGCGGTAAAGGAAAGGAAAAAAAGCCGACGGTTTTTATGAAGTGCACCAGTGAAAATTTTGCTTTTTTTTTCTCACTTTTTTGGAAGAGCACTTCGCTAATTTCGCTCAAAATTGATCTACGGTGCGAATTGGCAGGTAATTCTACGGTTTCGTTTTGAAATTGTCGCATTTTTCTTTCTTTTTTCGCCTCGGCGCTTTGTTAAAAATTCATAACCCCAAAAAGTGTAAAAAAAAACATTCCTTGCTTCCTTGGGCTGCACCTTCCCGTTACGACTTCGAATTATCTCAGGAAGTTTAGGGCGTTGGTGCACGCCATGTTTGTTAGAAAATAAAAAGTCACGTTCTGTGCAGGGTAACGTATTGACGATGGATGACAATTTGAACGAATCGTCCGGCTCAGATTTCGACGATGACGAGGATCCGGATAAGATCCAGGTGCCAGGTGAGGTCGGACTTGAGTGGTTGCGTTATTGTATCGGTTGGGCGTAGGTGGCGGAAAGGACCTGGCGGCGGCGGCCGGCATCTTCGAGTCGCGCGACAGCAAGGCGAAGGAGGAGACCAGCGTTAAGCCGCCGGTAATGAGCATGCCGGCGAACAGCAAGTTTCCCGCTTTCAACCCCGGCTACGATCTGATGCGGAACGCGACCAGTTAGTATATTTTTTTTGTTGTCGTTTTTCGACGAGCCCAGTTATTAATGGAGTTGATGTTCGCAGTGCAACCGTCGCCTTACGGCGGCATGAACAGTATGGCTGCTATGGCAAGCATGCTGAGCAGTTTGGGTGGCCCCCTTAATATGGGGGGTATGTTTCCCTCAAGTGCCGGTTTCAACGCTGCACAACTTTTGCAGCAGAGTAAGTCGCTTTGAACCTCGGCATGTAAAAAAAGCACTTTCTGTTGGCGTCTCGTAGTCCTAAATTTCCACTGGCATGACTAATCCATGGTGTAAATGGTGGAATGGTGAGACGAACTGATTTTGACAAATGTTTAAAAAATGAATTTTTTGAAACACGCCAACTTAATTATAAAATTTATTAACTGATGTTGAAGAGAGACAGGTATAGGTTTTTTTTGACAAAATGAAACTGTGTATCTAGCGGCCAGTTGCACAAAAAAAATAATCCAGGATTATTGTTTAATCCGGTATTAGGACATTTGATTGGCTTTATACTGCAGTATGCAGCCAATCAAATGTCAAAATTCTTGTTTAATCTCAGATTTGGCAAATAATCTAGGATTTTGATTATAATTCGCTTTCCTGCAATCGGCCGTAGATCTTTTAAGTTGAGAATTTTTTCAACATTTTTGGAACCTGTCAAAAAGTTGAGCCAGAGTGTTTCAAAAATTCAAAAAAGACCAAAAGGTCTAGGAGGTTGTCTCACTAGTCTGCTTCTTTGCGCTATGACTACTCTCTTGATTTTGTGTTCTGATGCCACCACTAGAGGGCGAGGTTTAATGTTATTGTACCGTTTTAGTGGAGATGGCTGTGATGGGTATGAACATGAACAATCCGTACATACAAAACCCCTTCCTGCAGAACCTCTCCTCGCTGATGTACGGAAATCCGACCGGGCACTCTTGGGGTCCCCAGTTGAGCAACAAGGCGGTCATGTCAATGTGGATGAACGCGGATTCGAAGCAGATGGCGCAACCGCACGAGGAGGAGGAGGTCGACGACGAAGAGCTGGGCGTCGCCGAGACCTACGCCGATTACATGCCTGCGAAACTCAAACTGGGACGTAAACATCCCGATCCGGTCGTCGAGACCGCCTCCCTGTCGTCGGTGGCGCCCGCCGACGTCTGGTACAAGCTCGCGATCCCGGACGAGTCGATCAAAACGGGCCAACTGTCCGCCCTGCAGCTCGAGAGCATAACGTACGCGTCCCAGCAGCACGAACATATCCTACCGGACGGATCGCGAGCCGGATTTCTAATCGGCGACGGTGCCGGCGTCGGAAAGGGGCGCACCATCGCCGGCATAATTCTAGAAAATTACCTCAAGAATCGTAAGCGCGCGATCTGGATATCCGTATCCAACGATTTGAAGTACGACGCCGAACGGGACCTGCGCGATATTGGCGCCGGAAAGATCGACGTTCACCCCCTGAACAAGTTCAAGTACGCGAAGATATCATCGGCGATTAACGGCAACGTCAAGAAGGGCGTCATATTCTCGACGTACTCCGCTTTGATCGGCGAGTCGAACACGGCCGGCGGTAAATACAAGTCGCGCTTGAAGCAGCTGCTGCAGTGGTGCGGATCCGATTTCGACGGTCTGATTATATTCGACGAGTGTCACCGTGCAAAGAATTTGTGTCCCGTTGGATCGTCGAAACCGACCAAAACTGGTAGGTAGTGGCTAAAGGCGCGCAATTCTAATGGTGTGTTCATGTAGGCAACCTGCAATGCAGCGATGTAATGTTGGTTGCGTGACTAACAAACAGTAGGTTATTTTTAAAGAATGTGCATAATTCCCTTTATTTTGCTCCTATCACGTTCATGGAAGCCTTTGGGATAAGATAATCACATCTTTGATAGTTGGGGGGGGGTTATTGGAAAACCCCCCGTGTTATATCCTCCGACAAGAGTGAAGTAATTTTGATGGTGTTTTCTCACAGATGATTGTATGAGTACTAAACATTAGACATTTTTGGGATATAACATAGCACCAAGGGAGTCTGGGGGGGTACGGAATACCCCCCAGCCAATAGAGTGTGTCCTCAGTAAGATTGAACTATAATTCCCTTCATTTTACTCCTATCACGTTCATGGGGGCCTTTGGGATAAGGTAATCGCATCTTCGTTTGTTAAATACCCCCCCAGACCCCCCGGTGGTATGTCCTCCCACAAGAGTGAAGTAATTTTGATCGTGTTTTCTCACAAATTATTGTATGAGTACTAAACATTAGACATTTTTGAGAAGGACCATAGCACTAGGGGGTCTGGGGAGGTACGGAATACCCCCCCAGCCAATAGTGTGTCGTCAGTAAGATTGAACTCTATAATTCCCTTTATTTCGCGCCTATCACGTTCATGGGAGCCTTTGGGATAAGGTAATCGCATCTTCGTTTGTTGGGGTATTGGAAAACCCCCAGACGCCCGCGTTATGTTCTCCCACAAGAGTGAAGTATTTTTGATGGTGTTTTCTCTCAAATGATTGTACGAGTACTAAACATTAGACTTTTTTGGGATAGAACGTAGCACCAGGGGTCTCGGGGGCATGGAAAACCCCCCCAGCCAATGGAGTGTGTTCTCAGTAAAATGGAACTTTATAATTCCCTTTATTTCGCTCCTATCACGTTCATGGGCGCCTTTGGGATAAGGTAATCACATCTTCGATAGTTGGGGGGTATTGGAACCCCCCCCTCACACAAGAGTGAAGTAATTTTGATGGTGTTTCTCGCAAATGATGATGAGTACTAAACATTAGACATTTTTGGGAAGGAACATAGCACCAGGGGGTCTGGGGGGTACGGAATACCCCCCAGCCAATAGAGTGTGTCCTCAGTAAAATTGAACTCTATAATTCCCTTTATTTCGCTCTTATCACATTCGTGGGACCCTTTGGGATAAGGTAATTGCATCTTCATTTGTTGGGGGGGTATTGGAATACCCCCCGGTGCTATGTCCTCCTGCAAGAGTGAAGTAATTTTGATGGTGTTTTCTCACAAATTGTATGAGTACTAAAGATTAGACATTTTTGGGGAAGGAACATAGCACCAGGAGTTATGAGGAGGGGGGGGGTACGGGATACCCCCCAGCCAATAGAGTGTGTCCTCAGTAAGTTTGAACTCCATAATTCCCTTTATTTTGCTCCTATCACGTTCATGGGAGTTTTTGGGATAAGGTAATCGCATCTTCGTTTGTAGGGGGGTATTGGAATACCCCCCAGACCCCCGCGTTATATCCTCCCACAAGAGTGAAGTAATTTTGATGGTGTTTTCTCACAAATTATTGTATGAGTACTAAACATTAGACATTTTTGGGATAGAACATAGCACCAGGGGGTTTGGGGGGGTATGGATACCGCCCCAACCAATAGAGTGCGTCCTCGGTAGGATTGAACTCTATAATTTCCTTTATTTCGCTCCTATCACGTTCATGGGAGCCTTTGCGATAAGGTAATTGCATCTTCATTTGCTGGGGGGTATTCCATACGCCCTGTATTACCTTCTTCCGCGGGTGTAGAGTAAGTTCGATGGTGTTCTCCCATAAATTATTGTATGAGGACTTAACATTAGACGTTGTTGGGAAAGAATATAGCACCGGGGTGCCACAGTGCCACATAGCACTATCCTCAGAAAAGGAGGACTTTATAATTTTTTGTATTGTGGCGAACTTTTAGCGCATGCCCGCGCACCAAGGGTGACTTGGGTTCTCCTTCACAAAAAAAAAAAACCAAATTAAACGGCGTACATCAATTCCCCTAAGCGGGGAACAGTAAATAAGCGGATTTGATAGCGGGAAAGGGAAAGCAATTGCAGAAAGCGAGACAACATTCTCCCCCTTATAACTAATGAAACGGAAAGTAGCAAAAAACTTACTTTGCGATTAACGCAGAGGTGGCAATTACTGTGCAGGAAAAAGCAAAAGACAAAACGACAAAAAGAAAATGGCAAAAATATGATAAACGGCTCCCCTCTAAACGCCGGCTTTTCCTTCTATATAATTCGGCTATTTCAAGTAGGGATCAACGGGAATCCCCACCCCCCCACCCCTGTCCGCTTATACCTTCGATACGTGCAAACAAATTTTTTCAAAATTTAAGTTAATTAAGAGCGCTTCTATTGAGATAAGGCCCAGCTCAATCGGACGCGTTCGCTGCAACTCATTTCAATCCAATTAACACATTTAAATTGTGAGTTCTTAAAAAGATCTTGGGGGCTTTTAAGGGGCAGCGAGTTTTAATAAATTAAACGAATTTCAGGTCTGACCGTGCTCGAACTGCAAAACAAACTGCCAAAGGCGAGAGTCGTGTACGCTTCGGCGACCGGCGCGTCTGAACCGCGCAACATGGCGTACATGGTACGTCTGGGCATGTGGGGCGAGGGGACGCCGTTCGGCGAGTTCGCCGATTTCATCTCGGCGGTGGAAAAGCGAGGCGTCGGCGCAATGGAGATCGTTGCGATGGACATGAAATTGCGCGGCATGTACATCGCGAGGCAGTTGAGTTTTCACGGTGTAGCTTTTAAGATCGAAGAGGTCCCGCTTTCGGACGATTTCGTTAAGATCTATGACGCGAGCGTTAAGCTGTGGGTGGAGGCGATGCAGAAGTTTCAGGAGGCGGCCGAGCTCGTCGACGCCGAGAACCGCATGCGGAAGACGATGTGGGGGCAGTTCTGGTCGTCCCACCAGCGGTTCTTCAAGTATCTGTGTATCGCCGCCAAGGTTCCGCACGCAGTCGGCACCGCTCACGAGTCCATCAAGTGTGGTAAGCCGAGCGCCGCGCGTGGCGATGATGCGATTTTGTCGACTTTTAGGCAAGTGCGTGGTCATCGGCTTGCAGAGCACGGGGGAGGCGAGGACGCTCGAGCAGTTGGAGCGCGACGATGGCGAGCTCACCGATTTTGTCTCGACCGCGAAGGGCGTTTTCCAGACGCTGGTGGAGAAGCACTTTCCCGCTCCCGATCGTAATCGAATACACCGACTGCTCGGTTTGGAGCCACCGTCGCATTCGAAGAATTCCATGAATGGGGAGGAGGGCGCGAGTTCGACAGGGAAGCGCAAACCTAGTAAGTCTAAAGGTTGTCGCGCGTTTAGGCGTTTTTTTGCTTACATTGGTTTAAATAGGCAAATGCTCATTTGAGTGACGCGCGTATTGAAATCAATGTGAGCGCCCCACCGCGCGTAACTTTCAGGTTTTCGGGATTATCCTCGTACTATCATGCTATTCTTGCATCGTTTAGGTTTAGGCAATTAATGCGTCTCTTTTCCGCAGCTCGACAGGCAGCTGCAAAGGCCATCAAAAGGAACAAGTGGTCAACATCAGACAGCGATAATAACAAAAGCGATTCCGATCACACGTCCGGTTCCGAGTACAAGATGTCAGATATTGAATCGGAAATTTCGGAGGAACATTCCGATTCCAACGCCAGCAGTGACTTTAACCCCTTCAATTCGGACAGCGATTCCGACAACGATCCCTGGAGCCGAAAAAAGAAGGGCAAGCAGAGTAAGAAGAGCGCGACAAAGAAGAAGGCGGCCTCGTCCACCACCCAGGACAAGATCTCACTATTGCTAGCGAAAAAGGGCGCCAATAACAAGGTGAAGACGAACGGGGGGATTTCGGCGGTGTTGGACTCGAAGACGTGCGCGCCGCCGAAGGACGCGATCGAGCGCGCCTGCAACATGAAGGAGGATCTGCTGCACAAAATCGAGCGGTTGGGCGAAAGGTTGCCACCCAACACTCTCGATCAGCTCATCGACGAACTGGGCGGACCGGAGAACGTCGCCGAAATGACCGGGCGCAAAGGACGAGTTGTGCAGACTGAAGACGGTATTCAGTACGAAAGTCGGTCGGAGGTCGACGTGCCCTTGGAGACGCTCAATTTAACGGAAAAGCAACGATTTATGGACGGCGAAAAGGACGTCGCTATCATCTCAGAGGCGGCGTCGAGCGGCATCTCCCTGCAGAGCGATCGGAGGGCGCGAAACCAGCGGCGGCGCGTTCACATCACGTTAGAGCTGCCGTGGTCCGCCGATCGGGCGATTCAGCAGTTCGGACGTACGCATCGGAGTAATCAGGTTAACGCGCCCGAGTACATTTTCCTCATATCGGATCTCGCGGGCGAGCGACGTTTTGCGTCGATCGTCGCGAAGCGACTCGAGAGCTTGGGTGCGCTGACGCACGGCGATCGGCGGGCGACCGAAACGCGTGATCTAAGTCAATTTAATATCGATAACAAATACGGTAGAGCTGCTCTGGAAGCCACAATGAAGACTATCATGGGATATGAGGTAATACTTTGAACTGGGACGCTGCAGATAGAACACAAGTACAAAAAACCACTTGAGGCCCAGCCGGCATCTAACTCTGCAAAAAAATATTTTTCAAAGTAGCACTTCAACAGTAAGAGACTTTTCTACCATCAAAATTTCCAATGGCGTTTTATGGTTTCAGTTCAGCTTGTGTTGTTCTTGTGGTCTATCTGCATGATCTTGCTTATCCCAGTTTCCCCGATATCCCAGATATACATAAACGACAGATTGCTAACCTTGTGCATTTCGTAGGTAGCACAAATACAGGGTGGGTGATAAAGATGGAACCAAAGCGCTCACGCTCAAACCGTTTGTGTTTCACATATTTTGAGGTTAAAAAAATTTTTGCATTTTTTAAAATTGACAGAATTTCTTCTGCACTGCAGGCAGTAAGAAAGAGAAAAAAATAAAAACACACGACCTCTGGTGCCATTTAAAAAAATTCAAGATGGCGGTCGCATTCAAAAACGATGTCAAAAAAAAATTTTTTTAACCTCAAAATATCTGGTTTCATATTTTCCAGCGACCCTGTATACTATTGGGGTATATTCAAAAGCGCCCGCTATATATGCCGACTAAAGAATAAGGTTAGGAATCGGTCGTTTGTGTATATCTGCGCCGATATTCATTGATAAAATGATTTAGTCTCCACTGGTGCCTCCCCCTCAAGACTACAAAGGCGACTTTTTCAAAGACATTGCCGACGCACTCGTAGGTGTAGGATTAATAGTGAATAGTGAGAATATGCCAGGTGTCCTCTCGTTGGATAAAGACTACAATAATATGTCAAAGTTCCTAAATCGCATTCTCGGAATGCCGGTAGATTTACAAAATCGCTTATTTAGGTATGTTGGCTCCCCCCTCGCTAACGTTGGCCCTCTCCCTCCCACGGCTCTTTTTTGCAGATATTTCACGGATACGCTCGCGGCGATCATAACGCAGGCGAAGAGATCGGGCCGCTTCGACCTGGGCATACTCGATCTGGGCGCCGGCGGCGAGCTCGTCAAGAGGGTGCGGACGTGGACGTTCCTCCGAAAGCACGCGACCGGAAAGGCGCCGACGGAACTTCACACGGTGCACGTCGAGCGGGGGATGTCGTGGGACGAGGCGACCGAGAAGTGGTCGACGCTCACCGGCGGCAAGGAGGGATTCTACCTGTCGCATCAGATCCGTAACAACAAGCACACCGCAATACTCGCCGCCGAATTCGATACCGGTGTTAAGAAGAAATCCGAATCTAAGAAGGACCAAATGTACTACGTCTATCGGCCGAATACCGGTTTGCAATTTCGACAGGAAAGTTTGGCCGAGCTCGAAAAGAAATACAAGAAGGCAAGTCACTTTTGAGGTTATTGTTGTCGACAATTTTCTTGAATTTGTATGCGACTTTTTGTGTTTTGGGATTTCTTTTCACACGAGAGATCCAAGGGTTGAATATTTTTGGGGGAGGACGTAGCACCGGGGGGTCTGGGGATATGAAATACCCCTCCAGTAAATGGGAATTTGTGGGAAAAACTTAATTCATTTCTTCTGTGCACTGGGGGGTATTGGAATACCCCCCAGTGATCATTTTTTTTCCAAAATCTGTAAAACAATCCCCTGGCTCGTAGGGAGTGTCATAAAATTTTTTTTCAAGAAAGCTCTTAAGGGTTGAACATTTTTGGGGGAGAATGTAGCACCGGGGGTCTAGGGGGTATGGAATACCCCCCAGTAAAGGGGAGTTTGATGATAACTGTCATGGAATTTTGTGGGAAAAAGTTAATTCATTCCTTCTGTGTGCTGGGGGGTATTCCATACCCCCCCAGACCCCCCGGTGATCATTTTTGTTTCCAAAATCTGTAAAACAATCCCCTTGCTCGTAGGGAGTGTCATCAAATTTTTTTCACAAGAGCTCTTAAGGGTTTATTTATTTATTTATTTATTTAACCAGAAACCATACAGAATAAAAATTCCAATTACATGGCACTGGGGCTCTGAACAAATATTAGGACTAGGATCTAATTTTATTTATTATTGAATTTAGGGGATCGTGAAAAAAGTCGATATCATTAACTGAGGATAACTTATTTAAAGCGATCAAGATCTTAATAAGTGGGGAAGTTGTGTTGTTAACTACAAAAATAGTATTATTTTGCCTTAGCTTAACAAATGGTACCTTAAGCTTAATTTCTTGAAGTAATTCGGAAGAGTATAACAAGTTGTGTAAAATTTTGAAGACAAAAATTGTGGAGGCAATGTACCGTCGGGTTTCTAACCTCGTTATATCTAAGCCGAAAGTACTATTTAAGTAATTAAGCTGGGTACCGTAAGAGATCAAATGTGGATAATTTTGGGTTGACCTAAAAAACATTACTCGGATGAACTTTTTCTGCACTTTTTCGATCATGTCTGAGTATTTGAGAGTTTGAGGAGACCAGATACATGCAGCATACTCAAGCTTGGATCTAATAAACGCATTATATAAGGTTAGCATTGTCTGTATATTCGTGAAATTGAGTGTATGCCTGATAACGAAACCAAGAAGTTTGTAACACTCATTTGTTAGGTATTCAATGTGTAAGTTAAAGTTAAGGTTGGTATTGAAAAACACGCCCAGGTCCTTAACGGAGGTGACTCGTAGTAAGACCTTTCCATTCATCTTATAGTCAAAAAGTAAGGGATTTTTCGATCTAGTAAAAGTAAGGACTTTACACTTATTGATATTTAGTTTTAGTTTATTTTTGATACACCACTTAATTACTGAGTTAATGTCCTCTTGAATATTTAAACAGTCACTTGGGGATTGGACTTTATTAAAAAGTTTTAGGTCGTCCGCAAATAGTAGTGCTTTCGAGTTTTTTATCACTCGCGGTAAATCATTTATGTATAAGAGAAACAGAAAAGGACCAAGAAGTGTTCCCTGGGGAACGCCTGATGAGGGATAAAATTCGGCTGAATTCACACCATTGAATTTCACTCTTGTTTTACGGAGAGATAAATATGATTTTAAGAATTTGACGGTCGGATTACTTACGCAATTTAAAACAAGTTTACGGAGCAAGACTTGATGGGATACTGTATCAAATGCCTTCGCAAAATCTGTATAAACACAGTCCACCTGGGCTCTCTCATCCAAGGCTCCTGCTGAGAATTGCGTAAACTGCATTAAATTTGTAATCGTTGATCTGTTCCGCGTGAAACCGTGCTGTTGATCTGCAATTATACTGCTGAGATGGGAATAAAGTCTAGTATAGATTACTCTTTCGAAAATTTTCGCTATTGCTGGTATAATTGCAATTGGGCGATAATTCTCAACTAATTTTCGGCTTCCACTTTTGTGAATTGGTGTTATTCTGGTGCATTTCCAAGCTTCAGGGAATGTACATGTTTGCAAAGCTAAAGGGTTGAACTTTGTTGGGGCAGAACGTAGCACCGGGTGGTATGGAAAATGGTTCTTCGGTGTGTTGGGGGGGATCCCAAGCTGAGAAAATTGTACTTCAACCTTTTTGCCGATTCTTCTTTACATTAAGCTCAATTGTGAATTACCGCTAAATCGGACTTGTATCTCGTTTAGGTACAATCGGAGGAAGCGCAAGAGGCGTGGACGCAACAGTACGAATCGTCCCTGACGACCTGCTCGCACGCGTACTGGCGAGGTAACTGCCGAAACGTTAACCTCGGACACGACTGCGAGGTGGGCCTGCGAAGGAGAACGTACAACGTCGTCTCCGGCTCCGTTCTATCGGTGTGGAGTCGGGTGGAAGGCGTTCTCGCCAGCAAGGTCGGCTCTCACAATAATAAGATGCAAGTGATTCGGTTAAAAACCGACGACGGTCTCAAGGTAGTTGGTAAGCGATCCGTTTCCTGTCTCCTTCTCGGAGCTAATCGATCGTTTCAGGCACGTTAATACCAAAAACTTGTGTAGAATCTCTAATAGAAGCACTTTCCTCAGACGCTGAAAAGACAGAAGAGAAAACCTTTTAAACGACTTCATTTAGCAAATTTTTATTTAATAAGAACGCCGTTACGTTTCTTCAGTTGACTGCCAGACGATTTGCGCGTCAGGGGCTTCGCCCCGACCTGTTCTAATCCGATGTAATCGTCACCACAAAATATTGTCAAAGTAGTTTTTGTTACTTAGTCTTAATCTATTTATAATTATGTAAGTAATCCGCTTTTTTTTTAATCGTTACTAGTACTCGACTGATGATTGAAGTATTAAATATAGCGTCTCGGCTTTGCGGGCCGACGATTTTATGTTTTTTACCGTGGCACACCTTATGTGAATAGTCGCCAATCTAAACTTAGAATTACTTTTTTTGTGTGATAATATCTACGTGTATATTTCCGATGTCGGTCTAAGACGGAAAAAAAAAACAGTAAAAAAACACCTTCGAATATTTTAGACTTTAATATTTTGTGCAATTTTCGTTCACACTTTTTCGCTAAAAAGTAATAAATTATTTACCACCCCTAATCGCACTAATTTTCTTCATGAGAAATGGGGGAGGTTCTATCGTTACCCCCCACCCACACTAATTTTCTTCATCGACTTCATCATAGTCTTTCACTTTGACATCTTGATCTTCGCCGAACTGCAATATGTTATCGATCGTCAATAGGACATCGGACACGTTCTCTTCATCATTTAGATTGAGCGGCAAAAATCGTACGAGGGAATGGTCCTCGACCAGCTGACCGATCACGTCCGTCAGTCGCCTGTATTTGTCGTTGAACCACGAATGATTCAGCTCGATGTCGCTTAGCAGAGCGTGCGAGTCGGGCTCCAAAAATCGATCCAGCTGCTTCCGGGTGCTTTTACTTATCAAATCCATTTTCGTTAATAAATTAACGTGCGGCAACTCCAGATTGACCATGACGCTTAACGCAGACATCGTGCCCGATACGAACTTCGCGCCGTCCGTCATAAACTGCACGTCGAGCAGGTACACGCAGCACAAGTTAAAGTTCCAACTTTGTAACAGCGCGATTAATTTTCGGAACGTTGTCAGGTGCGTGTACAACTCGATTTGGCCGGGGCAATCGAACAAGATGTAATCGTCCTCTTGACTGCCGAGCTGTTCTTGTAACCAATCCGAATTTTTCACCAGGTAATCCATACAGAACAGCAGGCCGCCGTTGGGCCCGAACTGTAAGTCCTCGTCTTCCATTGTGTCTTGTACGTGTATAAGGTTGCGGACGTCGACCAATGGTTCATAGTTAAAGTGTTCTGCGGCGGGATCCAGATTAACGACGTTAATTTCTCGTTTCGTGTTGATGCCGTGCTGAACCAGCGCACTGCAGTACGTCGACTACAACAGGTACGATTTCATAAGCTTTACTGCCCCAATACTTTACCTTGCCACTGCCAGCCGGGCCCGTTATTAACTGCGCGTAGCGCATTTTGAGAAGCCCCAAGTGTGGAAGTGGAATCAAAATTAAATACTGAAAAATAAAGTAGGGTTAGAAAACTCAGTAGATCATCTTCGAGTAGTTCCAATGAACTAATCTTCAGTGTTACAGTAGATATATACAAAGATGACGCTATATTTCGTTACCTCCTATTCCCTAGTGCGCTGGCACCCAGATCAAGCTAGAGTTTGCCGTAGCCGATCGGAACATGCCCCCTGACTATCACTGCAAATGTGTATACAGTGCGTTTATCTTTAAATTGAACATTTGATTTTGCATGCAATATATTTCAAGAAAATGCGTCTCCTATAGGAGTAGTTCAAATGGGTAGTAGGCGCAATGAACAATTATCACCTTCAAATTACTGTCCTGCAGATAAATTTCGAAAATTCTAACTAAAGAGATGAAAATTAAAATTAAAAGTTGTACAATGGTCACAACAGTGCAAGAGAAGTGTGATTTACTTGCAGTAGTATCCTGATGAACCAATACTTTCTATTCAACGTACATAACCTAAAAATAATAAAGGCTGGTTCAGTTGTGACACGCACAAATCTTGTAGTTGTGAACCGCACACATCGTATAGGTTGAGGCGTTTTTTTTAAATGGAACAGGGAAACAACATTGCATTGTGCATTTAGCCGTATGGAAGTCTTCCGAGTGTGTGCCTCCACAGCTAAGTGAAATAGGGTTCTAGTCCTCGAAGCGCATCCAGTGACTCCTAGGCAGGTGAGTCTGTAACTTTCCTAGTTGCTTCGTGTAGTTTTCCATGCACATGGCAGGTATCATACAAGTGCACAGTATGGTATTATTGGCCTTCTCACTACAGTGTAAAGTCAATATACCGATGTAGGGTTCAAGCACTACGTAGGTACAGCCAACATGCTGGTAGACATGCAGTGGCGTTTGTGCTTATTTGATCAATTGACCTGGTCAGACCCATCAGTTGAAGTCCTCGAAGAGTGAGTGACCTGTTCCAGAGCCCCGAAGTTTGTAAAATTCTAACTCTAACCGGGTTGTTGAATAAGGCCCTGGGTAGGTGTCCCTCTAGTGCACGTGAACTACTTTTTGGTTAACAAAATTGTTGACCCGACGCCACTGGTGGTAGTTCCAATGTACTGATTAGTCCTAACCTCAAAATTTAAATTGACGTGTCAGCTGTCAACTTTGTTTTGGTATTTCTAGCCTCTTTTTCTGCATATTATAAAATGTGATGCGAAAGAAAAGCAGTTACAATGAGAATACACTGGCTGAGTCGTACTTCGAAAATCGTCGCGCTATGCAGCGCGGCAAATTTCATAAACAGCGCCGATCGTGTTCTGATGCCGATCGCTATCGTGCCGATGACCGACCAGTTTCACTGGACGTTACACGCGCAGGGCTGGATACTGTCGGCGTTCGCTTGCGGATACTTCACGAGTCAATTGCTGGGTGAGCGTCGAATGTGCGTCGGTCGTTTGCGAGCTTCGTTTTTGCAGGTAGCCTTTGGGTGAACAAGATCGGCGCCAAGAACATTCTGATATGTAGCGTACTGCTGTGGAGCATCGCCACTTTCGTAACGCCGCTGCTGGCGGAGAGTGTCGTCGCGTTGATCAGCTGCAGAATCGTGTTGGGTTTCGCGGAAGGTTTAGGTCTGCCGACGATCTTTCATCTCTTTGCGCATACGATACCGGTCGAGGAACGTAGTCGAGCTTTTGGGTATTTATTGGCATCGGGATCGGTCGGCCAAACCGTCGCATCAGTTGTAAGACTCTTAAAGTTGTGCGTTAGTTAGAAATCGCTTTCTCTCGTTATTATAGGTGGCGCCACATTTGTCATGGCAAGCTTGTTTCTTCTGGTTCGGTTCCATGGGTTTTGTATGGGTTTTAATGTGGTACATTTTCTATCCCAATACTGGATTAGGGTTTGGACCGCAGGATGCGATCCCTCTCCACATGCCCAAAGTGAGTAGAACTACTCTATTCTTTACGGTATGCCGGGATATACGAGAGAATTCACAAGTTTTTGCTTTTCAGGCGAGTAAAAACATCAGATGGAGCGATTTTCTCATGTCAAAGGCCTTATGGGCGATCTACATAGCGCACTTCGCCATGAACTGGTCATCGTACATAATAATGCAATGGCTGCCGACCTATCTTTCGAGAATGCTCGGGGCAAACGCGGAATCAATCAGCTTAACCGCCGTACCCTACATAGTGAATTCGGCGTTCGGAGTCGCAAGCGGTCACGTCGCCGACAGCCTGCTAATGCGTAACAGCTGGTCCGTGCTAAACGTACGGAGGTTGATGACGAGCATAGGACTCATCGGTCCCGGTTTATTCTTGGCGATCTTTTGCGTCGTCAACGAGTTACCGCTGGCCGTCGTGCTCGTTTCGATTTCGATGGGACTACTCGCGTGCAACTCCGCCGGTCACTTGTCGAATCACGTTGATATCGCACCTAATCATTCGGCGACGACTTTCGCGATTAGTAATACGATTGCAACCATACCCGGAATACTGTGCGGGCCGATAACAGCAGCCCTCGTCACCGCCGCCAACGGAAAGTGGGTGGCCGTGTTTTTGGGGGCCACGTTTATTAATTTAGTAGGAGCATTTGTCTACTTTGGCAACAGTGTAGCTACGCAAGTGTTGTAAATTTGTAATAAACATTTTTAAATGTATGCTAGAAGTAAACGATTACTGTTTTGTTAATTTTTTTGTTTTTACTAAGCACCTATAAGTATAGGTGGTGCTAAGAGGGCTGTGAGAATCTCCGTTCTTACATGCTACCTTGCACATGACCTGAAATTACTTCCTTTGCCCTATTTCGAATTTAGAATTCTGGGTCGCCACAAGTTGATTTCAGCCAATGCATAAGGTAGGGTAAGACACAAAGATTGGGCTGCTAGAACGGACAAGGTAGGTCAAATTATGTATCCCGAGGACTTCAGAGAACAATCCTTATTTCTCCGAAAACAATAAGCTAACGTCCTGACATCTGCCGTAAGTAATTTAGACTTGCATCATGCCGTTAATGCAGGCCACTTAATTATTACCATTGTTGGAGTTGCTTATACTTATCACAGATGTCGCTAATAAAATGAAGTACTTATCTAGTGACTTATGAAGTACTGACATCTAACGTTAATTAAAGCAACTAAAAAATTAGGAAATTCTCTTCATTTTATTCCTGTGTTGTGACATCTGTGAACAGTTAGGACAACTAACATAATTACAGTACCCGTCAGTAAATTGACCTGTATTAATTGATAAAATGTTAGTCAACCTTAATAAAGACAGATGACAGAACAATGCATTATTCTCATTCAAAACAATAATAATGGTAAAAAACCTATGCAAGGCTATACAAATCACGGGTATTGCGCCCCTTTATCCCCTGCTGACTAAACAAGTTGTAAATCAGCATATGCATGATTAAAGCGCATTTTTGGTAATGCAGGTCAGTATTTTATTAGCGAAGTTTAAAATTATCGATCTCACGAGTAATTTTGGCTGCGTTAAATAATTAATTTTATTTAATTTCAATTGACGGTACGTCTTTAATTTTGTAAAACAAATCACAAAGTAAATAATAAGTTTTTATACTGGTAGCGCCATCTAACGGTAAAATTATAGCACCTCCGAAACCCATATCGAAATTATTTTCTTCAAATATCGATTTCACAAGTAATCTAACTCAAAATAGAATAGTGCCTGCACATCTACACTATAGCAGAAAGCTTTTAGTGAAAATTTGAAGTCTCTAGCTATTGTAGTTGTGGAGATCTAACGCGGACAGCCGGCCTGCCAGCAATGACGAATATAATAGCGTATTTTTTTCAAAAATGCGCTAAAAATTAAGCCAAGAAACTCGAAAACGATTTTCATAAGGAAATTGACTAATTTCGCCGAAATATTAGTTAGTCCTGGTTAGGTTAGATGAGAAATCCTGTATCAGGAGATTATAATGTGCAAGGAGGTGATTGAAGGTTTGGGTAAAGTGAGTGAAGTTAAGTGGGAGTGCTAGTTAGGTTAGGTCAGAAATCTTGTATCAGGACAGTTTTATTTTACATAAGTTTATCGACAAATAACAGGTGTAGTATTAGGAAAAAAACACCTCCTCGCACTCATATGATCCTGATACAGAATGGCAAATTTTTAAAGCGAATGAAAGCTTTGAAATAATTCTGACAGAGCTAGAAAAAGACCTCTTCACATATTATGTTCTCCTAGTCGCACGACACCTTTTGCATAAGTTTGCCGACAAGTAACAGGTGTAGTATTGGGGAAAGAAACACCTTCTAGCACTCATATAATCCTGATACAGAATTGGCAAAGTTTTAAAGCGAATGAAGGCTTTGAAATAATTCTGACAGAGCTAGAAAAAGACCTCTTCACATATTATGTTCTCCTAGTCGCACGACACCTTTTGCATAAGTTTGTCGACAAGTAACAGGTGTAGTATTGGGGAAAGAAACACCTCCTCGCACTCATATGGTCCTGATACAGAATTGGCAAAGTTTTAAAGCGAATGAAAGCTTTGAAATAATTCTGACAGAGCTAGAAAAAGACCTCTTCACATATTATGTTCTCCTAGTCGCACGACACCTTTTGCATAAGTTTGCCGACAAGTAACAGGTGTAGTATTGGGGAAAGAAACACCTTCTAGCACTCATATAATCCTGATACAGAATTGGCAAAGTTTTAAAGCGAATGAAGGCTTTGAAATAATTCTGACAGAGCTAGAAAAAGACCTCTTCACATATTATGTTCTCCTAGTCGCACGACACCTTTTGCATAAGTTTGTCGACAAGTAACAGGTGTAGTATTAGGAAAAGAAACACATCCTCGCACTCATATGATCCTGATACAGAATTGGCAAATTTTTAAATAGATTGAAAGCTTTGAAATAATTCTGACAGAGATAGAAAAATACCTCTTCGTACATTATGTTCTCCTAGTAGCACGACACCTTTTGCATAAGTTTGTTGACAAGTAACAGGTGTAGTATTAGGAAAAGAAACACCTCCTCGCACTCATATGATCCGGATACAGAATGGCAAATTTTTAAATTGAATGAAAGCTTTGAAATAAGTCTGACAGAGCTAGAAAAAGACCTCTTCGTATATTATGTTCTCCTAGTAGCACGACACCTTTTGCATAAGTTTGTCGACAAGTAACAGGTGTAGTATTAGGAAAAGAAACACCTCCTCGCACTCATATGATCCGGATACAGAATTGGCAAATTTTTAAATCGAATGAAAGCTTTGAAATAATTCTGACAGAGCTAGAAAAAGACCTCTTCGTATATTATGTTCTCCTAGTAGCACGACACCTTTTTTATAAGTTTATCGACAAGTAACAGGTGTAGTATTAGGAAAAGAAACACCTCCTCGCACTCATATGATCCTGATACAGAATTGGCAAATTTTTAAATCGAATGAAAGCTTTGAAATAATTCTGACAGAGCTAGAAAAAGACCTCTTCGTATATTATGTTCTCCTAGTAGCACGACACCTTTTGCATAAGTTTGTCGACAAGTAACAGGTGTAGTATTAGGAAAAGAAACACCTCCTCGCACTCATATGATCCGGATACAGAATTGGCAAATTTTTAAATCGAATGAAAGCTTTGAAATAATTCTGACAGAGCTAGAAAAGACCTCTTCGTATATTATGTTCTCCTAGTAGCACGACACCTTTTACATAAGTTTGTCGACAAGTAACAGGTGTAGTATTAGGAAAAGAAACACCTCCTCGCACTCATATGATCCTGATACAGAATGGCAAATTTTTAAATCGAATGAAAGCTTTGAAATAATTCTGACAGAGCTAGAAAAAGACCTCTTCGTATATTATGTTCTCCTAGTAGCACGACACCTTTTGCATAAGTTTATCGACAAGTAACAGGTGTAGTATTAGGAAAAGAAACACCTCCTCGCACTCATATGATCCGGATACAGAATGGCAAATTTTTAAATTGAATGAAAGCTTTGAAATAAGTCTGACAGAGCTAGAAAAAGACCTCCTCGTACATTATGTTCTCCTAGTAGCACGACACCTTTTGCATAAGTTTATCGACAAGTAACAGGTGTAGTATTAGGAAAAGAAACACCTCCTCGCACTCATATGATCCGGATACAGAATGGCAAATTTTTAAATCGAATGAAAGCTTTGAAATAATTCTGACAGAGCTAGAAAAAGACCTCTTCGTATATTATGTTCTCCTAGTAGCACGACACCTTTGCATAAGTTTGTCGACAAGTAACAGGTGTAGTATTAGGAAAAGAAAAACCTCCTCGCACTCATCTGATCCTGATACAGAATGGCAAATTTTTAAATCGAATGAAAGCTTTGAAATAATTCTGACAGAGCTAGAAAAAGACCTCTTCGTATATTATGTTCTCCTAGTAGCACGACACATTTTGCATAAGTTTTGTCGACAAGTAACAGGTGTAGTATTAGGAAAGAAACACCTCCTCGCACTCATATGATCCTGATACAGAATTGGCAAATTTTTAAAACGAATGAAAGCTTTGAAATAATTCTGACAGAGCTAGAAAAAGACCTCTTCGTATATTATGTTCTCCTAGTAGCACGACAACCTTTTGCATAAGTTTGTCGACAAGTAACAGTGTAGTATTAGGAAAAGAAACACCTCCTCGCACTCATATGATCCTGATACAGAATTGGCAAATTTTTAAATCGAATGAAAGCTTTGAAATAATTCTGACAGAGCTAGAAAAAGACCTCTTCGTATATTATGTTCTCCTAGTAGCACGACACCTTTTGCATAAGTTTGTCGACAAGAAACAGGTGTAGTATTAGGAAAAAAAACACCTCCTCGCACTCATATGATCCTGATACAGAATTGGCAAAATTTTAAATCGAATGAAAGCTAAGAAATAGTTCTGACAGAGCTAGAAAAAGACTTCTTCGTATATTATGTTCTCCTAGTAGCACGACACCTTTTGCATAAGTTTGTCGACAAGTAACAGGTGTAGTATTAGGAAAAGAAACACCTCCTGGCACTCATATGATCCGGATACAGAATGGCAAATTTTTAAATCGAATGAAAGCTTTGAAATAATTCTGACAGAGCTAGAAAAAGACCTCTTCGTATATTATGTTTTCCTAGTAGCACGAAATCTTTTGCATAAGTTTGTCGACAAGTAACAGGTGGGTATTAGGAAAAGAAACACCTCCTCGCACTCATATGATCCTGATACAGAATTGGCAAATTTTAAATCGAATGAAAGCTTTGAAATAATTCTGACAGTGCTAGAAGAAGACCTCTTCGTACATTATGTTCTCCTAGTAGCACGACACCTTTTGCATAAGTTTGTCGACAAGTAACAGGTGTAGGTTTAGGAAAAGAAACACCTCCTCGCATTCATATGATCCTGATACAGAATTGGCAAATTTTTAAATCGAATGAAAGCTTTGAAATAATTCTGACAGAGCTAGAAAAAGACCTCTTCGTATATTATGTTCTCCTAGTAGCACGACACCTTTTGCATAGTTTTGTCGAAAAGTAGCAGGTGTAGTATTAAGAGAAGAAACCCCTCCTCGCACTCATATGATCCTGATACAGATTTGGCAAATTTTTAAATCAAATGAAAGCTTTGAAATAATTCTGACAGAGCTAGAAAAAGACCTCTTCGTATATTATGTTCTCCTAGTAGCACGACACCTTTTGCATAAGCTTGTCGACAAGTAACAGGTGTAGTATTAGGAAAGGAAACACCTCCTCGCACTCATATGATCCTGATACAGAATTGGCAAATTTTTAAATTGAATGAAAGCTTTGAAAAAATTCTGACAGAGCTAGAAAAAGACCTCTTCGTATATTATGTTCTCCTAGTAGCACGACACCTTTTGCATAAGCTTGTCGACAAGTAACAGGTGTAGTATTAGGTAAAGAAACACCTCCTCGTACTCATATGATCCTGATACAGAATTGGCAAGTTTTTAAATCGAATGAAAGCTTTGAAATAATTCTGACAGAGCTTGAAAAAAAACCTCTTCGTATATTATGTTCTCCTAGTAGCACGACACCTGTTGCATAAGTTTGTCGACAAGTAACAGGTGTAGTATTAAGAAAAGATATACCTCCTCGCACTCATATGATCCTGATACAGAATTGACAAGTTTTTAAAACGAATGAAAGCTTTGAAATAATTCTGACAGAGCTAGAAAAAGACCTCTTCGTATATTATGTTCTCCTAGTAGCA